ACGACACTCTAAATAAATTCTTGGTGCCTTAAAGTTTTTAGTTGATTCAGTTGAACTTTTCTAGTCATGTCGACTTGCATTAATCAAACTGACTAAAAATATGAAGTGAAATTTTGTATAACTTAAACAATTTTGTTGAAACCTGATTCATTTTCATTCATTTTCTTTTCGGCTTAGTCCCTTAATTAATCCGGGGCCGCCACAGCGGAATGAACCGCCAACTTATCCAGCATATGTTTTACGCAGCGGATGCCCTTCCAGCCGCAACCCATCTCCTGGGAAACATCCACACACACACACACAGTCATCCACACACACACTCACACACACACTCATACACTACGGACAATTTAGCCTACCCAATTCACCTGTACCTGTCTTTGCACATGTCTTTGGACTGTGGGGGAAACCGGAGCACCCGGAGGAAACCCACATGAACGCAGGGAGAACATGCAAACAAAATTGTCATTCAATATGTGTGGATAAACAAAATATAGTGTCTTAAACTAGTTAAACAAATATACAACAATATAGTACAAGATGAACAGTTCACCATCTGACTACTGTAAATGCAAGTATATAGAGAAAGATTTACATAAATACTGTATTGATGAAATTTGCATTTCAAAACTTGAATTTGTACATTAAATTTTTGTGCAGAAGAAAAGTATAGTGTTACTATATGAAGCGATCTGGTTATACTCATGAAATTAAAGATGTCTGGAGGAACCAAAATGGGTTTTTTACAGTGATGCTATTTCTGCTGCCCCAAAAGAGCCTTTTTAGTGAAAAGTTTATTAAAGAACCACTTTTTTTAATAGTGTAAAGGACATTTTAATCATCTATATAACCTTATTTACACTATAAAGAACATGTGCAATGAAAATAATCCATGTTAAAGATTCTTTATGTCTAAACGAGAGCATTAAAGTGGATCAGTCTTTTCATGTATTTAACAATATGTTGTAAGGGGTGGCACGGTGGCTCATTGGTTAGCACTGTGGCCTCACAGCCAGAAGGTTGCTGGTTTGAGTCCCGGCTGGGTCAGTTGGTGTTTCTGTGTGTGTGGAGTTTGCATGTTCTCCTCGTGTTGGCGTGGGTTTCCTCCTGGTGCTCCTGTTTCCCCGACAGTCCAAACACATGTGCTATAGGGGAACTGATCAACTAAACTGGCCGTAGTGTATGAGTGTTTGGGTGTATCCCAGTACTGGGTTGCAGCTGTTCGCACAGGTATGTGCAGGCTACCTGCTATAGCCATGTGCGGGCTTTAACAGAAATAAATAAATACATCTCTACATAATTTGGACATGTACAAGTGGTTGGTACAACTTCAAGACATTATAATGTTGGAGTTATCCACAGCGCGAGTGAACTTAGTACAACTGAGTACATTACAGATCTGGACTTTAGCTGCTGACAAAATCTCCTTGTTTATTGCACAAAGAAATGATCAGGATCCAGTTTGCCTTGCTTTGTTTAACTGATATTTGATACTGTATTCTGTTTTGTTTTTATGTTAACTTTTATTCATTATATACCCCAGTTTCAAGAGACCGCAGGGGAGGGGGGTGGGGCTATTTGCATTGATATGTTTCATCATGTAGTTTTTTCAGCCTGTATGTTTTGTTAACAATTAATAAAAAAATTAAATTAAAATATTAAAAATAAATAAATAAAATCTTTGTGATCAGTTACTCTACCTTGAATTATTCGAGTTCTGCATAGAGCTGCGTCCCAAATCTCATACCAATGCACTGTTCAGTGTAACTAATACAGTTAGTCATACTTTATATTTTTAATTGGTAAAATTTTATATTTAATTGGTAAAATTAAATATAAAAAATGTAAATTGGTAAAATTTTATATTTAAATTGGTATATTTTAAATATGTTTATCTGCTGTGTGAAACACGCTGGAATAATTGGCAGTTCATTCCGCTGTGGCGACCTCTGATGAATAAAGGGACTAAACTGAAGGAAATTGAATAAATATGTATTAGGAACATTTTGTTAGCGTTCTCGTTACGTTTTAAAAATGTTATATTGTGTCTTAATGTTGAATGTTTTCTAGACACTGTGAAAAAACTGGCTACATTTTAAAAAGCACGGAGTGAGAAATCTAACAATCCATAAATGGTTTGAGCAAATGTTATCTAAACGTTTCCTGAACGTTATCCAGAGGTAAGCGGAAGATGCCGGAATCCATTCATTCTTTTTTGGCTTAGTCCCTTATTCATCAGGGGTCACCACAGCAGAATGAACCACCAACTTTTCCAGCATATGTTTTAATCAGCAGATGCCCTTCTGTTGCAACCCAGCACTGGGAAACACCCATACACACTCATTCTCTCTCACACACACACACAAACACATACACTACGGCCAGTTTAGTTGATCAGGTCCCCTATAGCGCATGTGTTTGGACTGTGGGGGAAACCGGAGCACCCGGAGGAAACCCACGCCTACACGGGGAGAACATGCAAACTCCACACAGAAACACC